TGGGTTGATTCTCCCACCCGAATTGTTAGTTCTTGACTGAGGGTTCCCCCTCCCACTTGAAATAGAAAGAGACTAAATGGCTTCCAATGTCTAAAGTTGCATGGCCACAGACGCCTCAATCTACCTCTCATTAATTCCACAATGCCCCAAAATATGGCTAACCATGTGACTCCTTGAAAATACAACCATATAAGAAAGATAAAATGCATGGTTATCTGCCTCCATTTAAAGACTACAGCTGCACTAAATCATTCTTTCATCTATATATGTTATGCCCTTCTCCAGATCAAAAAAGCAGCGATCATATTTGCAGTGAAGGCAAAAAAGTATTACCATTCAAGCAGTTTTTCCCAAACTTTTTGCGGAACTAAAGCATAATCCAACCCCTCCACCAATGTTCTACGAATATCTGGATTATTCTCTTTGCAACCATTGTTATTCAAAATAATATCAGAGTTATCAATTGGCCCAGGTCTGTCAGCAGTCTCTAAGTGAAGCCCATTGGCTTCCTGAGAATTAGACAGTTGCTCCTCAGCCGAAAACATACCAACACGAAACCCAACATACCTCTGCCACACTGAAAACCACCTGTGTTGGAAGCATAAAGAAACTTAAAACTGCATGAGATATGAAAATTATGTAACTGAACCTTATTTGATATTCAATTGCTGTGGTATGAATAATGACTCATTCCATGATCTAATTAAGAAATGTACAGTCACACACAATCACATTTAGAGAAGAATCGGTACACAAACACATTATTAAATATTTAAAAGAATGAATTTTCATGCATAGATGACAATAACACTGACCTTTTAAAGAGAACAATACAAGCACATTGAAAGTCTACATGAAAGTTCTCTATACTCCAGAATAACCAAAAAATAACAAAATAATGAAGCAACGTGATGGCTGTTAAAGAGTCCGCAGATTCGCAAACACACAGTTAACAATGAGATTGAGCGTGCCAATAGCTAGAACCACAATTGAATGCAAACAATGCATCTTGCATGGTGTCCACAAGCGTGGGACAGACCAACAGAAGCCTTGCCAAAATAGGCCGTTTACAATATAAGAGAAGTATATAATATGCCATAGATTTATCTTTCGTTGAGCTAGATAATAGCTCCAGAATAAGAAACATAAACAATCCGACATCAAGATTCACGTACAGCTCCATCAAAAGTTTGTTTTGAAAAATTGAAAACGAAAATGGCAAGACCTATTAGAAATAACGTAGTATGTGTTGCCTTCTTTTAAATTGAGCTCCGATTCTTCCATTAATTCTGCTATGGTCCGATTTTCTTCCTCCGGTGGAAGTGGTAAGCAAATTGCCCCATTGTCCATCAGACAGCTCGAATCAGCGATCGTCATTGTAGATTTTCTCAACTCAAAACACGATGAAGATATCAAGTTCAAGTCCTAATCCCTCCAGATCAACGGTCAAGTCAGAGTTAATTGAACTCGAAATAAAAATAAATTCAACGCGCAGAGCAATTAAAGATTGAAAGATGCAACATGCCTTAAACTTGGCAGATTGATTAAAGAGATCGAATAACAGGGACTAGGCCTCTAGAAAAATAAGAAATCAAATTAAAAACAGACCAGTATATTCGACGAACCCTAGATTGCAGGGAGGGAAGCCTGATCCCCAAAAAAAGGAAACGAAGAGGAGAAATCTTTTACGGTCTTTTTCAACGGCCTATTATCTGTTTTTGTTTGGTTACACGTGAGTCCTCTTAACTACTCGTATGAAATATTTATTTCTGCAAATTTACATTTCATCAGCATAGTATACATTTCCACATGAAGCTGTATTATCAACTTTTGAATGTTTATCATTTCTCTTTTTCTTAAAAAAGGCCAATTTAATCATATTCTTTGTGGTATGATTTGATTCAAAATGATAGATGAAAATTTTAATGAAACCCCCTTAACTTGAACACTTGATGTTATTTCATTTTTTCATCAAAATAAATTGAGCAAGTGTTGAGAGTTGAGATGGTTTTTTTTTAATAAAAAATGGTCTGATTTTTCTTTCTTCTTTTTTAAAAAGAATGGAATGGAATACGCATGCTCGGGTTAAAAGAAAATCACGATATATGCATATTCCAGTTATAATTTTGGATAGTAACAATAAAAAAATCAATATCAGATGATGATTTCTTAAAAAAATTATTCCAGTTATAATTTTGGATAATAACAATAAAAAAATCAACATCAGATGAGGATTTCTTAAAAAAATTTCGATCCTAAAACATTAGAAGACGGGCACTGAATTGGAAAACCTTAGTTATGGAGAGATCCTAATTTACTATTAATATTAGTTTTGTATAGGGTTCTTAATTATCATTATCTAATAATAATTTGTTTCAAAATTCTCTTGTGACAATGACAGTTAAATCTCAAAATACTTAATTAATACAAGTTAAGTTTTTGATAATTTTTTAAAAAAATAAATTAAAAATATCAATTCAAAATATTATAAATCTAGAAGTTTCAATTACAAATAAGTATTTAAATATTAAATATAATATAATTTTTAGATTGCAACATAAATTTGTTTGTAATTATTTAAATTAATATTTATAATTCATTTTATAAAAATTTTTATCACGAACATAACTGTCATTAATTCATTCATTTGACACCAAATTATCATTCTCCCAATCCTCTTTGAAATGTTTGAAAATGGTTGAAAAAACATAAATTTTGATTTTCATACTTTATTTGTATTTTGCTATTAATCTCTACATTTTTTTTATATTTTAAATTCATATACTTTTATTTTTTATTATTTTAAGTCCCTCCATGAATAAAGTGCAGGGTCCTAAAATAATAAAAATAAAAATATAGAGACCTAAAAAACTAAAAAAAAAGTGCAGAGATTAAAAACAAAATACGAGCAAAGATTATCCAAAGCTATGTTTTTTCAAAATGATTTCTCTAAACTTTTAAAATATTTCATAATTTTCATGAATAAAATTTCAAGACATTAATATGGTCTGCTTTTATATTACTATAGCAGTTACAAGTCTTTCATGTAAGTAGAACAAATTCTCGAGGGTACAAAGATGAAAAATGTAGTATGATAAATATTTATTTGATTTTATATATAAATCACTTTAAATATATTTTATTGATATTAAGAAAAAACTTAAACATCATTAACTCTATTTAAAACTTTAATAAATTTTAATTTTGTTTCTATTAATACTTTAACAATAAATTTTTTGTTTTCAACATTTAATGGAGAATGAAAAGAAAAGTTTATAATAAAAATTTAATGACGTGATTTATAAATAAGATAAAAAAATTTTCTCTATCCTATAAATAGGATAGGAGGAAGTATAACTTTAGATGATGATGTAGTATTTAAATAACATTTATAAAAATTAAATTAGATAAAAATAATTAAAAAAAAGTTCAAGTAGTTTTTTTGAAATGCCGATGGGTTCATTTCAGCAAAGATTCCAATGCAACCATGCCAAGCGACTTGTTTTCCTAGACATGCCTTGCTCACTTAGGACGCAATATTTCACGTTATCCAAATTCAAGTATTTTTTACAATAAATCTTCAAAAATGGTCGTAGATGGAATAATGCAGCAAGCAACCTTATGATCGATAGAGTGCCACCAACATAAACTCTCGTAATATCTTGGACTGATATCAAAAAACCAAAAACGAAAAAATTGTGGCTGCTTTTTTTTTTTTTTAAGATTTTTAGCCTATAGATTAATAATGTCCATAGCTACATGTTCTTCATAGCTTTCTCTGCTCAACGTAGTGCTTTCAGATCAAATGGAAAATCCATGCCCTTGTCAAGTGTAAGAGCCTCATGGCAGCAAGAGCTCAAGATTCTCAAACGATGTAGATTGTTCTGAAATTTTCTCTTAGCTCATAAGATACAAGAGAAGCAAAAATAAAATTCTGATATTCACATTTGATAAGTGGAACTTAAAAAAACTTCTGTTCCTACTCCCTATCTAATTTGTTTTGGATCACTTGTAAATGCATTCTCATCTAGCTTGCTTCTCTCTCTCTCTCTCCTTCGAGCATGTAGAATTGTTCTTTGTAGAATTGTTCTTCCATTTTGTCCTCACATAAAGAAGCAATCACTCCTAACAAATTGTGAAACTTTCCCTTGAATTAGGATGGGGCTTGAAAACAATTCTCTGAAAAGCCATAGGTAGAAGAAAGTTGACTTTGGTTACATGGTTTATTTTCCCTTGCAAGCTTACAAAAGTGCCTTAGCTTATAAACTACTTCAATAAAAATCAGCAACCACAGCATCAGTTGTCATTCCAACACAAAGCAATCATATGCATAACCTTCTAGATTTAGGAATGGGAGAGGCAGCACTGGCGACGATGGCTGCTTTAGGGGAAGACAATGAAAGAGTTGTTACTTTTACTTTAGGAACAAGTGACGAATATATCCATTCATGAAGTTGAGTGAACTTTGCAAGTTAGTCCAAGAAGTTTAAGTAGACACACGATCACAATTTTGAGGAGATGGTTACAGTCAAGAGGCGCATTGAAAAATATGGTTAAGGCTTCTAAACATAGTAGTGAAAGTCAAGTGGATAAAATTTTTTGTTAATGATCAATCTAACCACAATTCGACTACAGTTTTAACAATTAACTATAAAACTAATGTCATAACTGATTTAATAAACAATCCGATTTTCAATATCTTGCTCTTGAATACCTTTCTCCTGAACATGTACAGCCCACTCCTATCAGACAAGGTACAATTCAGAATACATTTAATGCAGAGGGAGCCACCTAGTTAAGTTTTAATGTTCAAACTAAAAACACGTCAGAAAAAAGGCATATGTAAGATTATTTTCATTCTTTTTTTTTTCTTTTAAATGTAATGACTACAGTATAAGTAAATTCAAATTTTAAACAATTCAAATTAAATTTAAATAGTACGTATCTGAAGAGTCTAAATACTTTTGCAATGGTGCAGAACTCAATTTGACATGCCTCTCTTCCAGATGAAACAACATTGAAGCTTCTAAATTTAAATTACTGATGACAATCCAATCCTACATTCTGTCATAGCTCACAAACTGAATCCTATTCTACGTTGCTTACAAATTCCACAGAATCTAATGGGTTTTCCTTATGCGTCGTGCATGACAAGGGCACACAATTGCCGGAGGACATATATACACCTAGTATTAATACAATCACCGACCGAGGACACCAGAGTTAACCCAACAGGGCCGAGGATTTCATATCATTGAAAACAACTAAAAATCCTTCCACTCGCAGAGACAATCCTGTGGAGGCACTTGGCCACCCTGAAATTAGGCACTATCTGCCTCGTCCGAGCTAGCAGAAGCCTCACTATCCACTTGACCCGTTCGGCCGCCCTGAATTTCATCCTCGCTGAACTCAGTCTCCTCACTAGAATTGGAGAATGGACCAACATCATCATCAGTTAGCAAATCAGCCTTTCTTCTCCGGGCATCCTTGACTGCTATTCCCTGAAGAGCCAGACGCCTGCGCTTCCGTGCTTTACGCTTGCCTTTAGGGAACTCTTCTTTCTGCAACTCAAAATTCTTCCCGTCGCCCCCTTTTGCAGTTCTGCCCTTGCCAGTTACATTATCATCAGATTCTTCATCCAACTTTCGCCTTTTCTTAGTAGAATTTGTCTGAAAAACAGGTTCAGATTAAGATTTGTATATTTCTAGACATTTTTAAATTCAATAGCAATGACATGGAAATTAAGGGCAAATATATACAAAGCAGGAAATCACATGGATAGTACTTTCTTTTCTTCGTTTTTTTAACCACAACCATGGTGTATCCACTAGACCACTACTACTCAAGCATATTGCACACGATCACAACTAAACCCTGAACATGGTTACAATGTTAATTGCAGTAGGCAGTAGCGCACAAGTATCAACTTCTTGGCACCTTGAACTTCAAATTTTACCAAACAACTCCATATACCCTCCCCGCTTCTTCTTCTTCTTCTTTTTCGTTTGGGGGGGGGGGAGAGGTTGAATAAACCAATAGAAAACACAAGACTACACAGAAAGCAGGCAGGGTACAACGTCACCTAAAACATCAGAATGAAGCAATCCCTACTTCAACTTTAGGGGTCATCCCAATTTTTGACAAAATGACACAAGTAAAGTTCCAGTTGGAAAGTCTATCTGTGCAGTTTACCCTCCTCACTCTTCTATAAGTTAAACTATCATTACACCCAAATTATGCATGCCAAGTCAACCTTGATGAGCATATATTATGTACCAATGATTCCAAAGAAGCAAAACATAGAGTCAGTCCGTGAGCAATAGAATCAAAAGGTACAAACGTATAATTAAAAAAAAAAACACTAGAAATTGGACATTCACGTAATCACATGGGCTGGTTTCAACTCAGTGTGCAACCATGACCAGCCATGCCACTCCAACCTGGAGTTAAATCCACTACATGGCAAAACAATTGTAACCAGGCCCCATCAATGCCAAATTCTCTACAAGGCAATAATAAAAATAATTGCAATTTGCAATATGGTACAATTAGCACTAAATGATTTACTTGGCAATACAAAATGTTTGCAACAACTTTCCAATTTATCTGTAAAATGAAGTGATGTCACTGTCACAATTACAAGTATCACAATTTGATTAAAATTAATCTGATCTCAAAAACTTTAAACCCACACCCCACGCTGCCCTTGACTTCGTAAGTTTCTGATAGCATAACCTTCACCACGATTCAATAAGCAATAGAAATATATTTATTTGATACAAGCACACACCTTTGGACCACGATCACCCAGCCTTGCCCATTCATGCTGGTTCCTCAAAGTGCGATGGGCTGGCCTTCCAGCAGTTCCATAATCTTCATCAGATGTATTTTTTGGTGAATTGCGTATAAATGGCAAATTTCGATCCTCAGGAGGGGAGGCTGAACTACTATTTGCAGTGGCAGCAGAGGCAGGAGCAACATTCTTTGCTGTAGAATTTATGGTTGTCATGGACATGTGGCCTTCTTCCATTACAGAAGCATCTTCCACACATTCCATATCTTTATTCTTCTGATCAAAGGAAGATGATGCATTCTCTATCCTTTTAGCTTCATCCTCAAGCTCACGAGAACTGCAAATCCCATCTTTAGATGCATCTTTGTATTTTCGTCTAGAAAACTGTAAAATTTATAAGAAATCAGTCACCAAGAGTGTGAAGCTGTAAACTCCTAAAGAAAAAAATTGGCATGAAATGCCACATCTGTGATTTAAAATGAAGGCACAAACCCTACCAAACAATAATCTTTTCCGCCGGCAGATGATGTGCGCTTTGATAGTATGCTTGCACCGCTAGGAGAAGTTAGCTGTGGCACGCTGCCCCCATGACGTGCTCGGGGTACACGAGGAACTCGGGGAGAACTATTTAGTTCTTGATGCAATAGTAGTGCAAGCTGCATGCAAAAAAAAAAAAAAAGGCACAAAAATAAAGATTAAGAGGAAAATAAGAAGCTAGAAAAAAAGATACTTTAGCAAAACATTCTTAGGATTTTAAATATAACAAAAGGAACATCTCAAACCTCCTCATCACTTAGCATCGCAGGAGAATTAGATGTTGGTGAAGGTGATGGCACGTGACTCTGGTTCACCTTAGAGGAAGGTTGGGAGTTTGTCTGATTAATCTTTTCACCTCTCTGTGGTACCGAAGATGAAATCTTATTTGGCGCTTGTAAAGATTTTTGGTGTAGTAATGAGTCATTAGACTCACTCGAGCCTAAATTAGTTCCAGTTGGATGAACTAAAGATGCCTTAGAAGATGAACCATTCACAAGATCTTTTGAATGTGCACTGACTTGCCTTGAAACAGAATTTTGTGCACTTTTGCTTGAATGCATTGCTTTCAAATTAGAATTTGAAGACGATTTCAGACGTTCTTTTTGAGACTTCCTTGGAACTTCATCCCTCACAATATCATTTTGATTACTTTCTTTCTTATTGTACATGTTGCAATCTGCCATTACTCCATGCTTGACAAGAGGATTAGGAATTTCGGTCTGTTCAGATTTTTGGTCACTAGCAGGAATTTTGGAATTCATAGTTGAGGAACTTAAAGATGACTTCCCAAGACTTGATAACATTTTATGAGGACACAATGTAGTTTCAGATTTTGATGGATCTTCAGCATAGCCAGAACCATCTTCTATTCCTGAAAAACCCTTTTGGGTTTCTGTGGGAACTTCAGAACCTGCCATTTCTTGTATTACAGGACAAAAATGACATGATAATTCCTCAGAATTATTGGTATGGCAATCAATGATTGCTTCTGATTTTCTGTCACTGTCTTCCACCTTATTTGCATCGGATGAATTGATCACCACACTATCATTAACATGATCAGAGTTGCGTTTAGGCAGTTTCTCATCACTTTTCAGATCACTCATGCTAGAAGAATGAGAAACCAAATGCTTCCCAGAATTATCATTATCCTCTTCTCCCTTCACCTTAAAATTGCTCTGTCCTGAGCTAGCACACGTTTCATAGTCAAAATCTTTGGAATCCTGGTTATCCTTGGGTTCTGGTGCAGGACCACCAAGATCATCTTCTGCAGGACTTATTGTGCTTCTTAATATTATACTGTCATCTGCATTATTATTACCTGCCAGGCCATCTCCCTCCTTGTTTGCAGAAACAAAAGAAAAAAATATATATATAGTCACAACTTGGCACAAGAATATGCCTAAAAGCACACGTGTCAAGGCATGTACAAAGCCTTGCATGTATAATCATATTAAAAATTTTCCAAACCTCTAACAAGGATATTCTCCAGAAGTTAGTAAACAGACTTCAGTTAAATTCTCTTGAGCTAACATGCAGGTATTAAATTAAATTACATTCTTTAAGTAACGAAATAAATACATAAGGAAAGAAAATGCTTTGGAATTCAGCCAAAGCTTATTGAGAGAAAGGAAAACAGAGCAGAAAAGAAGGGAAAATCTTTCTTTTTCAATTTAATCATTTTGATATTCAGATAACATATAATTTTATCTACCAAAACATTGAAAATTGAGGTGGCAGTAAAACTTACCTGTTCTTTAACTGAAGCATTTCCGGCAGAATTATTCTTTAAATATGGTGAAATGTTATCATCAGTCCTGGAAGAAATTTCAACCACAGAAGGAGCTTTATTTTCAGTTTTCTCTTCTGCTATTTCTGGTCCAACTGAAAAACTATGTCTTGTCATGTCAGGATATAAGGCTTCTGATGAATCCTCAGTAGTTGCCGAGTTGATATTTGGCTCCTCCATAATGGTATCCACAGCAGAGTAATTATTTGAAACGTGTTCCTGAACCACAATGTCTCTCAAAGTTTTGTTCTTTATGCTCCAGGTATCTGTCTTGGAATTCTTCAGACCTCTGTCTTCATAAAATTCCAATTGTTTTGCATCACTGGTAGGTGTAAATGCTAGTAGTAAAATCAGAAGGAAGAAAAAAAAAAGGCGAGTCAACAAGCGCATGGCAGGTGTCGAAGCATGTGAATCGGTGCCATAATTGAATGAGGCATGTAGCTAGAATTTCCCTAATAATAATAAATAGCGTTTTGACATGCATATTAGTAATTTTCAAACCACCTTTTATTTTTATTTCCGTAAGGATAGAAAACAGAAGAGGTTTGAAAATTTAGACAACCACCAAGGTCTTAATTCTGAAGTTAAGCTTTCAAAGTTGGAGAAACCATGAGACCAACTATCACAAAGTTGGAGAAGTGTGCGAGTATGATAATAGCATATACCTCAAAAATAAAGTAAAAGCAAATTAATTAACCTGTTTTCGAAGTATGTGAAGTTCTCCTCTTGGGATCTACCTCTTTGTGGGAAGTTTTGATCCTCTTCTTCCCACTGCGATCTCTGGATGTTCCTAACTCCTCTTTTTTCTGCTTACCTGAATGCATAACAGACCGAAGCAAACTTCTCTCCTTCTTCATGCCGTTCTGGGCACGCCTTATAGCTTCTGCATCTTCACTATCACACTTTTTCATCTCTTTCAAAAACTTCTTCGGGTTAGAACCATCTCCCCCCTCCCTAGCTCTCATGTCAACTAAAGTTGCAATAGGGGTGGCCGATATACTCTCTTTTGACAAGGAAAATAGAACTCCCGCCCCTTTATTAATAGGGTTCTCATTCTCCTCCTCCCTAGCGGAATTCTCATCCCAGCAGGGAAATTCCCTATACTGAAAATTAAACTTTTTGGGAACATACCCAGTGCATTTCCATAGCTGCCGGCTATAGATAGACGATAGCCCACCAAACAGTGAAGGATCGCCACCTGGAATTCCTTGAATGTGCACCCTCTCCTCCATAGGTATGTCAGTCCAAAGCTTGAAAGGACGCCGAGGAGCTCCGATGGGTGCAAATGAATTCTCCATTCTCACGGTCTTTGTAGGGAGCTCGGCTAACAATTGGGCCACCTCCGTTTCCTCCGTATCAGATCGATTAATCTTGCTCTTGCACTTATCGCATGCAAACATATCATCTCCTTTGACATACCGCGAGCAACGCGTGTGCACCCACACACCGCACTCGTCACAATTCACCATCTCTTCCCCATCGTCAAAATTCACACCGCATACGCAATCCACAGTCCAGGAACCATCAATCCAGTCGTCGGGAGGGTCCGAACTCTGCAGGCGGTGCGAGCGCCCTTTCATGGCTTTACTTATGACGCGATCTAGTCAACCCTCAAGAACAAAATACATAGATACAACGGCCCTGATGTTCATCAGCACAAAAAAACAAAAAACGAAAACCTAAATCCCCTACCACAAATTACTGCATGCCAAAGCAACCGAACGGCAACAATCGGCGGCCTTGGGAAATTCGAATGGCAACAGCTCAGTAACGGCGCACCTGACAGAGGGAATGAGAAAAGTAGAAAACTACGATATCAATTCATGCTATGTTCAGTTCAAAATACAAAATAAATTCACGAGATGTTAGATAACGATAATGATAAAACGACATGCAGTGTATCTGTTCGATTACCTGTGAATTGATGCAGGATCTCCTAGTTTTCTGTTTTTTTTTTTTTGGGACAAATTTCTCTATCCCCACGCAACACAACAAAAGATGGCACCAATGACGGAGAGTCGGAGACGAACGCAATCACTTCAAAGTCGTCGAAAGTCGAAACCGTCTTGGGTTATGGATTTCTTTCACGTTCATCCAAGTTCGGCTCCAGTCCAGATACTCTGCTCCGATTTAGAGGCTCACTAACCGGCCTGCTTATCCATTTACGACTTGGACTTTGGAGGCTCCAGTCCAGCAGTTCTTTAAATATATATATATATATATAACTTCTGGAAAAAAAAAATGGTGCCATTATCTGGCTAATAAGGAAATTGGGCCCAATAAAAAAATTGGGAAACCAAATCATTCTCGAGGGTTCCATTGGTTTTTTTTTTTTGTTCGATCTGAATCAATCCAAGTTGTAATTGAAACTTTTCTTCAATTTGGTGCGACTTCATCTAATTTAGCCAATTCAATCAAATTTCAAACACCCGTGCTAAATAATCTAGCTTCGTAATACTTACTCTGTCTCAATTTACAAAATATTTTTAATGTTATTTAGTGTTTCAAAATATAATACATTTTTTAAAAAATAAAATTTCATTAATTATTATTATTTCAGCATTATTTCTCACTATATAACTCCTCAGATAAATTTATTTCCCCCTTTCTTGTTAATCAAAATAATTTTGAGATTTTGTAGGAAAATTAAAATTAAAAAAGTTATAATTTAATAAACTTTATTGATATATATATATATATATATATATATATAACTTTTTCAAAAGAACACTTTGTAAATTGAGACCGAGGCAGTGCTTCTCAAACAGAACATACGATGTTGGTATGATCAAATCATTGGTGGGTGGACATTGCTAAAAGACTATCCATCGCAAACCAAACTCACAAACCTTCTCTTACATAACACTTTAATTTAATTTAATAATACATATCATGACAACAAGCATATGAGACATGATTTAATTTACACGTCGCAATAATGTGTAAATATATTAGTGGAGTGTTTGTTTGATAAGAGATTACATAACAGAGCAAGCATTGACATTATCATCGTTGAAAAAGTTGCTAACTTTGTCATCCCCACGTTGAGATACATGTATGGTGCCATGCTTGTCTGCCATATTGTAGCCATGTCTGTAGTAATTGTAGCTCTCTTTGAAATCACTTGCCGTGTCGTTGAAATAATTGTAAGAAGACGTGAAGTAGAGTGGTGGATTAGGGTATGGCCAAAACTCAGCCCTCTTCCCTGCTCTTCTAACTGCCTTAAGCACTTTGTTTCTATCGACATATCCAACAACAGTTACCCTCTCCATCTCTAGTTCCACTTCCACTGAATCAATTCCTATAACATTTTATACTATATGGCTTAGATAGATATAATAAGATAAGTATTCATTATATGCTTTCATTGGAGCACAACTAAATACCTATTTATTTGGGTTTTCAACTTCTTAAGATTTTGAAAGTGGTTTTGCACTTTTAAAAAGTGAAATGTTATTTGGATTTAAAATTTTACTCAAAATGACTTTCAAAAAGCACATTCAAATAAGGTCTCATAATAGATTTATTCAACTTGGTGCCTGCTTGGTTTTTTTGTTTTGTGGGTTAAAAGCCAGCTTAAAATATTTATTTGACAAAAGTTAGTTATTATAACAAAATTTATATTTAAACATATTCTTTTAAAACACTAGCTTGGTAAATAAAAAGTTGTTTGGATTTTTATATGTATTGAAAAGTGCTTTTAAATATTATATTATTAAAAAGGATATTAATTTTTATTATACAAACACAATATATTAGAAATATTAAAAAATATGTGATAAAAATATTAAATAACATGAAATTTGATGTATTAAACAATAAAAATAAAAGATATAAAGTTTGATATATTGAACAAAAATTTCTACGAATACCTCAATATAAGTGCAAATGATACTCATTTAAGAGAGAAACACTTATGATACAGACAATAGAAATAAATTAGGTAAAAAAAAAATTTCTAACACCCATGTGAGTTCCAAAAACTACCGCTAAACGCGACAAAAATCACGTTCAGCCATATTCGGCATGCATTTTGAAAAAGTACTTCCATTTCCTTTTGTTTTTTTTACGCAAAGAAATTTTAGCTTTTAGAAAATGTCATCCAAAAACACTTTATAAAAGCCAAATATAGGTTATCCGAACAAGACATAGACTTAAGTGGTTATATGAAGAGAGGATCAAAGAATCAGAATAGGCAAGTCTTTAAAATATGTCCAAGGAGGGCCAAAAAGGAACAAGGGACATACCTTTGAGCTTGTAAATGGCGTTTTTTACAACCCTTTCACACCCAGTGCAGCACATCCTTACTTTAAGTACAACCGTCTGAAAGAACAACAATTTTCAAGATATGCCATTCTCAGTTCCCACATATTCATTAAAGTTTTTTCCCCAACCAAAGTTCCCTCCATTTCATACTATGGTTGTTTTTTTAGTTACCTTTTTTTTTTTTTTTATCTTCACACTCTACAATCAGCCTCGAGTTTTCTGTGTTATTATTATTATTTTTAATCTATTCCATCTTTCTTAAAATGATTCTCCAAAAAGTATAGGCTTCTGATGATCCTTTGAAAAAGAAGAAAGAAAGAGGTTTCTATTGTCTCTGAGGTCCCGTTGGCTTCCATTTTAATATTATATATATATATATATAATCTCATTTCGTTAACAAAACCTTCAAATTCTTAGTTCGTAGAGGGGAGGCGGAACTGCATATGATGTGAAACTAAGAAAAAAGTAGGATATTTCTTAGTCCATGGAGTAATATTGAAGCTGACAAGGTAGGGAAGATTAGTTATATATTTGATTCTACTTGGAAGAGTGATAGGAGATTAGGAGGATAAATTTTCTTAGAAAGGACAAAAAAAAACTAAAAAAAAAAGTTATTACATATGAAAGCGGACCTGAAGGGAAAGAGGTCGACCCTTGGGCATGTTGAACTTGTTATTGATGCTCTTGTGAAGATGAAGATGATGATTATGATGATGATGATGTTCTTGAAGGAAGCCGAATGCTTTGAGCAAGGCAGCCATTGAAGAAACAGTTGGTGATATATTTATATATCAAAAGCAGTTTTAAGAACACAAGGAAATAGATGAAGAACCCAGCAATAGAAGATATTCCTCGTGGGAGGGAATATTGGCATCGCTTCCTCAAGTCATAAATATCTTTGGATAATAACATCATCTTCAGCAAAACCAAGTGTCTCAACTCAAACGCTGGCACAAGAGAGAAAGAACCTTTTAAACACGGAATGGTATCTATCAACTCTTGTTAATGAAACCATACGTTGGGTCAAGTACACAAGCTGCTGATAGCCCGACACTTGAGGGAATCAAAAACTAGTCTTGTCTATTATATATGAATGGACGTAACCAAAGAAAGCTCAGTTTCGATGCAAAGGGAGGGGGACAAAATATATTCTAATATCAACACATGTTGATCGTAACAAGAAAAAGATTATAGCCGTTTCAGCCGTGATATCATGTTTAAATCCATGGGAACGTAAAATGCCTCTAAAAGAACTGTTATCATTCATAGATTGTTTGGTTGCTGCTGCTCTCATTTTTTGTTTTTTTTTTAAATTGACAATACAATTTTCAGGACTGTTTTTCAAGATAAAATGAAATTTGGTTATATTAGTTTAAAAAAATAAAATTAAAAAACGTTGATAGTAATGGTTGCAGATGATTAATGATGGTTGTTTATAATAAAACCTGATCAACCTAACTATATTTTTCAATAATCAAATGTGATATGTTTTAAGAAATAAAAAAATAAAATGAAAATAACTTTAAGATATTGTTATTTTTTTGTTTTTAAAAACAACAAAATAAGAACAATTTTAAATAAATTTGAATCACTTATCTAAATAAAATTTTTCAATTCTTTTTATAAACCAAACGGGCCTTAGATTTCATAATAGTAGACATAGACCTAATAATACTACATATATTCTAACGAAACATTGATTGTCGCTAAGTGCACAAAGTATATCTAGAAGGCTCTCAACAAAGTTGTATTCCTAAATTGCTGTTTATTGGGTATAGTTTGCAACGTAATTTAGCCATAGGTTTTTGGCCGTATATTATAAGATTTACTGGGAACAAAAGAATCTCACTGCCATAGTATTATATGCTTCTAAAGGTCTAACCGCGGATTTGTTTAAAGTGACTTAACTATAAAGGATGCTCATGCAGATAAGAACCAATTGACAGAGGCAATATTCCCCCGCTCTTCACAGCAACCACAAACTTGTTAATAATTAGACATCCCACACGTATAATGTACATGAAGGAATAAACTCACACTAACGTCAATCAAAACAACATTATTCTCGTACTATTAAATAACTCTTCGTCCCTACGCTTTTTTTTTTAATTTTGAAATTTGATTAATATTCTTTTTTATTAAAAAAATCATGTTTGTTTTCTCTCTCTTTTTTTTTTCCTTTTCATGAAAGAAAATAGGAAGAATGATAGATAAATTCCTTTAAATAAAAAAATGATAATTTTATTTCACAAAATATAATAATCACAATAAAGTCTCAAGAGACTTTTTTAAGATTAAATTTATGTGTGAAATTATTTTAACACCCCTTTACAATTTAAAAAGTTATAATTTTAAAAATTATTTTAGTTATTGATAAAACTGAATACTTATACTAAATTTGTAAACGATATAAAATTAATTGAACTTTACTGATTAAAAGTTATAATTTTTTAAATTATTTTTGTTATTAACAAAACCAAACTTATGAATATTTATATTAAACTTATGAATCATATAAAATTAAACTTTACTTATTGACCAAAATTACTAATAGAAATTGTCATTTCCAAAATCATTGTAATCATTAATAAAACTAAACTTATGAACCATATAAAATTAGTTATAGATGAATACTAAAATAATTTCAGAAAAAATTTAATCTCAAAGAAATCACTTAAGACTTTACCATTATTATCACCTTTTACGAGATGAGATTGTCAATTTTTTATTTCAAAAAAATTTATCTGTCATTCTTTCAAGAAAATACCTTTTCTTACACCAAATGATTCGCCACCAAACGGTTAGTTAACCCGACCCAGGAAACTTTGTCAGGCAGGTTAGGAGATATATATTGTTCTGTCCAATTAGAGCCGCCAGATGTTCATACCGTCCACTTGTAATATTACCTGGGTTCCTCCATCACTTGCTTCACTATTGAGGTTTGCAAAGTTAAGTTGTGGTAGCAGTGCATATTGAGACTTGCAGGATCCTGTACAAAGCAGAGCTGGTAGTATTTCTTCAAGCACGAAGACAAGACTCCACAAGGGTTGAGAACAAACAAAGGCAATGGGGGAGACCATTGTCAATGGCTGGTGAACGCAAGCCAACCAACATCTGTGAATAAGATTCAAGAGAGGCTGGACTGTTGGAGGAAGAATATAGAATCAAATGGCAATTATGTGTGTTGTACTCACAATTTGAAAGAGCCAACCTCATCTAATAGGATAAGGTATACACACAACTAGGTAGTGCTGCCTTAAGTGAGCTAAAATTGTGGTCCACAACCCATCCCATTGTTAGACTGAAGAAAATTAATCATTGGATCAACTCGACCCAATTTACAACCCCTTTCTCATTGCATGAGATAAATTAATATAAAATTTATAGTAAGCCACACTAAATTTTCAAGTCGTGATAAATAGTGCCACTCATTCCTCAAATTCCTCACAATGGCCAGAAGAACCTGTCTACATTTTAACAACTTAACAAAAGGCACCAAATCAAAAGCTAATGGCCATCGGAAGGTTGGGTGGACAAGCAGTTGTACATACCGGAAATATGGAAATTGAGTGCTTGCCACTTCTACTCAATAAAACAACCCAATTGCAACTCTACTATGCGTTTGCCACATGAGCTAAGCGTCGCACATGTTTCATATTCACTACTAGTGATGATATTTAAACAGTGTTGTGAGATACAGTTTGCAGATAGGAAAAGATAAGGGCTTGGGGGGAAGTTAAAATGCGAGAAAAGGTTCAACATAAATGTATGAAAAAGTGCATCTTTTCCTATTATGTACTTTCCTCCTTTGAATCAATCACCTTTCTCTTTGAGATAGAAAGGAAAAGCAAGAAGAATTTACAGAGAAGATGTGCTCCATTCATGAATGCCAAAATAGAAAATAGAAATGTATATACAGCACCAAACATAATGGGATCTTGCCAAAAGCTACAGGAGAATACTTACACAGCAGGGTGGTACCCATGACTCACATTAGTTTCCACCCTCTGTACAGCTCTCCTCAAGCCCCACTCATGGCAGAATTCTAGGGCCAGCCGAAGTGCAGTGCCAAGTCCAAGGACAATGATAACACCTGCATAGTGTTTTCCAATTTAAGGACCCTAAGTATTACTTTTCAACTTGGTATGTTCATGATTGGCACTGAATTCACAAAGTGTAGTTTAAAACAAATACCAATTATTATATTTACAGGTAGTGCAGAGACACCAAATGTGATGGATATGAGCACATCCAACAAGAGACCACCAATGAGAATCGAAAATGCAACCCAAAGAGGACTAAAACATCCCTGTCATGAAAAAAGATATGGATGCGAATTCCAAAAGTGATTTATACTTATAAAGTATGATGACAATAGCAAGTGGACAGAGTATTCTCCTCACCCTTTCACGATCCTGTGTCCTCATTGTCGGGTCAATCCTCCATACCCAGTAATCGGCCTGCTCCATAAATGACAGAAGTTAAAACCTATAAATGCATGAGACAATCTATATTCGCATTCTAAACCCAATTCTTAACAAAATTGAAGTTACGTTCAAGTGACTGAGAACCCACCAATACTGACCACCTATTTTGCAGCCCACAAGCATGGCAACCCTTATAAACCCAGTCAAAAGGATTTTCAGGTAAATTACAATTCCCTGGTGCTGACTTGTTTCGAAATCAATTTGCCAATCTGTTCTGTGGTTCAATGTTTCTCATTTAACTCTAAAATTTCTCCTGTTATCACTTGACCTTTTCTCATATTTCAAAATAACTTTTCAATCTCAGCAGTAACCCTAGAACACTCCGCAAAACAAGAAACAATCGAGTCAGCCACTCAATAGTAAAATTGTTTTGTAACCAAAAACAAAAAGGCAATGAAAAAAGTGACGACTGGTGGGTGGAAGTCAGACATTTTTTCAGAGAGATTAATTCATGTGCTGATGGGTTAGAGAAGTATGGTATGAGGCAAGACTAGAGGTGTAAGGTTCTTGATGAACCACCTAAAAGAGATTTTACAGTGGTTGTATCGAGATACTGAGGGTATTAATCTCGCTCGTTTTATTTCTAGCTGAATAAATTAGTCTGGCCTTTGCTCCATTTTTTATCTAGCTGAATAAATTAGTCTGGCCTTTGCTCCATTTTTTATCCCAAAAAAACTAAAGAAATTGAGATCTGTGCCCACAGAGTTTAGCCTCCAGTACCACACGTCTTCTTTACCCAACGGGAAAAGACAAAAAAAGGTTAAGACACATACATTTGGCTGGGATTCGGGAGGTGACACATTCTGAGCCACTTGCCTGCAATTAAATCCAAGTCAAAACATCAAACTGAGATACTCTTCAAAGTTTTGTTAAACACATATTATGAATGAAATTATAACTTACTGGCAGATCTCACATATGTTTGATCCTCTTGTGCGAAACCAAGTTTCTATGCATGGTCGATGTGCTTTTGCTAGTCCACCCCGACATTGACATCCAAGATCTATCAAACTTTCTTCTTTTTCTTGCTGACATATTCTGATGAAACAATACAATGTAATGACTCCAATTCTCTTTATAAAATATCTGACAGAAAAATGCATTCAATGATTTTATCACACAATGCCATTTTGGTACAACATAACGTAAGTCAACCAAATAGAACCTAAGATGTGTAAAGTGATGCAGCATGAGTGCGGACCATGGGTGATGGATTTTGACTGTTCCCACTCTCTTGCACCACTTCTCCACATTCCATTCCCTCTTCTATTGCCTGGTCAGACTCACTCACCCAATTCTTCCACTATTGTGTTGGTCATACAGTACCCTATCACTCCCTCAACTCGTCTAGTCAATAAAAACAGATAAGAACAACTTATAAAGAATAATTTAAATTAAATTCAAAAGGCCGATAATAAATCTTTAGAATCATCCATCATGCAATTGGAACATCATCATGAGAAGCCTTATATACAATAGCTACAGAAGTACAGACTGGTGGAAAATGCAGAAAAAGAAGCCCTGAACCTTCAATACAAAAACAATAACAAAGATAACGTTTTGCCATTTGAGGAGAATTTTTATTTTTTTAAATTTTTATTATTACTTTATAATATTTTCAAATAAGAATATAACAATTATTTTTTATTCTACATAGAAAACATTGAAATTGGAAATACTGATGCTCAAGTAAAACTGAGATTTAAATCCTTGCCACTAACAATGCTGTTGTGTGCCTCAAGCATTCAGTATTCGCAATTTTAAGTCACACAAAAACAATGATAGAGACTCAACTAAGTGTCCACAAGGCTCCACCCTGGTGCTTTCTTGAGTCTCTCTTCTTTCATCATCTTCCTCAGTCTCAAGACTTCCTGCCATTGCCCAGCTTCTGCATACATATTTGACAAGGCAACGTGAACTCCATGATTATGAGGTTCAAGAGCAAGGATTTCTTTCACCACTCTTTCAGCAAGCTTAGTATTTCCAGTATTTTTGGTAGCTGCCAATAAAGCTCCTAAAATAACCACATCAGCTTTCCATGGCATTTCTTTTACCAGCTCCTCAGCCTCTAACAGTTTGCCTCCTCTTCCAAGAAGATCAATTACACATCCATAATGTTCAATGTTTGGTTCAATGCCGTAAATTGGCTTCATGGAATGAAAGATATCACAGCCGACATCAAGCAAACCAGCATGACAACAAGCAGAAAGAACCCCTATGAATGTGACATCATTTGGTACAAGCTGCTCCTTTGTCAGCTTCTGGAAGAGAATAAGGGAATCTTCAGCATGCCCACAGGCAGCCAAACCACATATCATAGCATTCCAAGTTGCAATATTCCTTTCAAGCATATTTTCAAATACCTTTTGAGCCTTCATAATCGCTCCATTCTTTGCATACATGTAAACCAATGCTGTGCCAAGAATAACTCCCACTTCAATTCCTTTATTCTTCATAAATTCATGAATTCTTTCCCCCAAATCAAGACAACCTGCTCGTGCACAAGCAGATAGAACTGAAGCCAATGTTGCACCATTCGGTTCAAAACCTTGGGCAATCATCTGATTAAAGAGCATCAAAGCCTCATTCGAACAATAGCTCTGAGCATATGCACTGATTATTGTTGTCCAAAGGCTCAAGTTTTTCTCAGGAAATTCATCAAACAAAAAACGTGCTTCAACCAAATTGTTTGAAACAGAGTAACCCCTCACCAATCCATTAATCACGTGTAAATCAATATCCAATCCAAATTTTAGAATCTGCGTATGAACTTGTTTGCAATGTAGCAAGGAGTGAGAGTTAGAACACGCCTTGAGAAGAAATGGGAAGGTGTGTTTCCCAGGTACAACATTGAGCCTCCTCATGTCAATGAAAAGGAGCAAACCTTCAAGGGGATTAGGGCCACTAGCTAGAGCTCTAATGAGTGTGTTGTACATGAAGCTATTGGGATGGCAGGTGCTACCAAAGATTCTGAATGCGTAATTGAGATCTCCAGCTTGGGAAAGAGCACAAAAGCAAATTAAGCGGCTAGCAGCAAAGTTGTCAAAGATGCGAGCCGAAATGATCATCTGAGCATGCACTTGTTTGAGTTGGTTCATGGATATGCATTTATCCACGAGGAGTGAGAGACGAGGAGCATTTGGTGGTGGCAGTGCAAAATACGTATAGGTGCGTAGCTGAAAAGCACAGTACTTACTGAAGAATCGCAAATTTGGTGGCAACATTTGAAGGAAGACTGTTTCACTTTATCCTTGTTCAATTTTAAAAGTCCTTCCAACAATTATAACGAACACTTAACTCGTAATTTTACAATAAATATACTACCCTTGGCACACAACTATAGCAAAGGAGAACTTCCAATACACCTTCGACTACCCATCTGAAACTTGCATATAAATCAAAGTCTTAGCTGAGCATTAGTAATCCCAATGTCAATGTTTACTATGTAGAATAAAAAAATATTTTTTACGTTCATATTTGAAATTTGAAAATAATATAAAATAATAATTGAAAATTATATTTCTGGCAATTTGAGCTCAACTTTGAAGAGCCTCGCTCTTCATCTTCTATAAAGATAACTCTTTCTAATGTTAAGATTGTTATTTGATAGAGTCAGCTGAATGTTGTCTTCATCAATGAGAGGCAACCGACTAGTACTGCAACATGACAAGAATAAATTCCAGTTAATAATATTATGTCATCTTTGTCAAAGTAGAATTAGGGTTTGTAGTAAGGAATTTTGAGTTTATCTATCATTAATATAATGTGGAGTTATTTGGATGTTAAGACTTGCTAAACTCCCTCGGTCACACCTAAGTCAAACTATGAATACTTGAATTTTAGTCAAGTAAATGTGCTTAGGTTGCCCATATAGATATCCAAAACTAGGGGTGTAGTATAGAACCATTCTTCAGCATAATTAAGCTCACGTGTAATGACCTAGATCTAGTCAATATCAATAGCAACATAAAATATAACCAATATCATCAATATTCACTAGTCATGTAGACATGTAGTTCATTCATCGGAAAAAGAAAAAAATTGTACAGTTTTCCCTATTATTTAAGAAAGGGGAGCTTCTATTATTAAAAGATGCCATCTATGGGGATACTAGAAAGCGCGAATAATTTACCTGCATTGTTCTTGGGAACTTCCAGACCTGGACAAGTAACCCTTAATTGGGGAAACCGCAATCGATTTTACATCCTCCCCACCGCTTAAGCATAGGTTACTCTCTCGAATGTCCTGCTTCTCGATATCAGGCACATCGACCGCATCTGTGGCACCATCTCCGTTTTTACTTTCATTCATCTGAATTTACTAGTCACTCGCCTATTATTCTCCAGATCCCTATTTACAGGTCCTGGAAAACAGATGAGCAAGGCCTAGGCGCGTTCAAATTGATATCACACCATAATCGTTCGTAATTGCTCGAAGGCGAATACCTGAGAAGAATTTCGTCTTTATTATCAGCGTGAATGAAGTTGAAGCCACGATTTTCCTGAACTCCTAATACAAAATTTACAACAAGCAAAAGCATGCTCAAAAGTGAGGAGAGAGCTATCAAACAAACCAGAGAGTTCAGGAAACCGGACCATTGACTTGGGAATTAGTACCTAATATTATCACTGGGAGATTGGCAGATGCGCCCAGCATCAAAGAGGGCTTGTGAGCGCCGCTGAATCTGTATAACAGAGATGCGGGTTTTTTTTTTTTTTTTGGGTTGGGGGGGGGGGGGAGCCAATTTAACATATATGCGGCTGCGTAAAGAGAACTTAGAATTTTTATTTTTATTTTTTTAAGAAATGGTTTATATCTATATAATTGTTTGTTGGATGATGAATCATCCTGCATGGGAGAAATAGCCAACACACACACACATGTAATATACAAATGACAATTACTAACTTAAAAATGTGATAATTACTAACTTAAAAATGTGATAATTTATTTGTCTGACATTTTAATTTTTGATAAAATGACATCTTTATCTTTAATAACCAGTATACATTGGATTTAACAAAAAAAAAAACTATTATACATTGAAAAATAACAACTTTAATTGATGTATTGACTAAAACGAAATAAAACATCACTGCTTTTCATCTACAGATCTATTTATTAGTCAGGCATGAATACTAAAAATATAACTATTATATGTTAGGAAATAATACTTTAATTGGCCTATTGACCAAAACAGAATAGAAACTAATTACTTTCTTTTTGCAAATTTATTTACCAATCAAATACAAGTATTACAAATCAATTACTATTATATGTTGAAAAATGACTATTTTGGTTTGAGCACTAAAACAAAATAGAAAATAATTACTTTTTTTTGGTAAAATTATGATTTATAAATAGAATAGAACGTGGTTTCTTTATTTATGAAAATGATAATTTCATATGCATTTTATTGTTAGACAAATTTGTAGAAATGAAGTAATCATTTTTTGTTTCATTTTATTTTTATTTATTTGATCTTATTTATAAGTCAGTTTCAATATGTTTCACCATAATTAAAAAAACCTTAAAATTCATTAATTATATCTAAATATCTAATAAATTATCAATGTTGCTCATATTAAATACATATATTTTCCTTCACCAATGTTTAGGTAATATTTTGATTAATAAATTTTAATTTGAATTTGAATTATAGTTTTAAAATCTTTCATTTCAAATCTCGTAATTAAAATTCATGTATTTAAAATTCCTTATTTAGGTAGTTTAAAAAATTTCAAATGAGAATAATAGATGAGTTAAGATTTGAAATGAAAATAGAAAGTTAAGAATGACGAGTTTATCTTTATTTTTTAATCAACGAAAGACAATAATGAGATATGGCAAAAAATTCGAGAGTTATAAAGGTATTAATAGTAAAAGTGTGAAAAAAAATAAGATAATTTGAAATGATTAAAATTTCAAATAAGTATAATGTAAAGAAAATTTGAAATTACACAATAATTGTTATAAGAATAATTGTGTATTTGATTTGTCATATCTTAAAAATTAAATCCCATATTAATTAAGCCAATAAAGGGTAATTAAGTAAAGTAATTAGTGAAATAGTTTAAAGATGGTTAGAGACAACTAATGAATCTATTAAGTTTTGTTTACATCCCTTGTATTGGGCCTGGAATTGTATTGGGCTACCTAGGCCCAATTGGAAGATTAAATATGGGCATCATTCTTTGTATCATTCGCTACATTGAATGACATATTTTCATACATTTAAATTGGAGAAAGCATGACAAAAATGGAAAGAGAAGAGGGAGCTCACAACTTACTTTGCTTGAGTTTAATTGTACATCTACTTGGGAGTATTTTAGAACCTCCAATCACCTTAAGTTCCCTAAGCTTCTCCCTTCTTTCTTCTTCCTCTTTGGCTAGATTTCTTCTTCCTTTTTAGCTAGATTTCTAGCTAGGGTTTGCTATGGGAGAATGACTTTCAAGCCTTTGGGTTCAAACATATTAGTTTAAATGGAGTTAATAGAAGTTAATGTATGTATTGGTTATGAGTAAACCCAAAAGGATAGGATTTTAGGTGATTAAAGCATTGAATTAGGTTGTTAGAAGCGTGATTATGATATTATTAATGACAGTTAGTATTGTTAATTGTAGATTAACTACTTGTGCATTATTTGAGCCTGGATATAGCATAAGGAGTAAGTTTGATAAAAGGGCAACCTTTGACTTTTTAAATGTTTGAAATAATCAAGAAAAATCTATTTTGTGTTCATTTCTTGTTAATTGATTATAAAAATTTGTGAACTTGTTATTG